AATAGCTTGAACCCGGGAGGCGGAGGTTGCAGTGAGCCGAAATTGTGCCACTGCACTCCAGCCTGGGCGACAAGAGCAAGACTACATCTTAAAAAATATATATATACACACACACACATATAAACACATACATACATACATATATACATATACGTGTGTATATATACACACACACATAGATATACAAAAATTTGCTGGGTGTGGTGGCGGGCGCCTGTAGTCTCAGCTACTTGGGAGACTGAAGCAGGAGAATCCCTCGAACCCAGGAGGCAGAGGTTGTAGTGAGCCAAGATCGCACCACTGCACTCCATCTCAAAAAAAAAAAAAAAGGGCCTGGTGTGGTGGCTCATGCATGTAATCTCAGCACTTTGGGAGGCTGAGGTGGGCAGATCACCTGAGGTCAGGAGTTCCAACCTAGTCAAAGTGGCAAAACCCTGTCTCTACTAAAAGTACAAAAATTAGCCAGGCGTGGTGGCAGGCGCCTATAATCCCAGCAACTCAGGAGGCTGAGGCAGGAGAATAGCTTGAACCCGGAAGGCAGTTATTGCAGTGAGTCGAGATCACGCCACTGCACTTTGACCTGGGCAACAAGAGTGAGACTCCGTCTCAAAAAAATAATAATAGGCCAGGCGCAGTAGCTCACGCCTGTAATCCCAGCACTTTGGGAGGCTGAGACGGGCGGATCACGAGATCAGGAGATCGAGACCATCCTGGCTAACATGGTGAAACCCCGTCTCTACTAAAAACACAAAAATTAGCCGGGCATGGTGGTGGGCGCCTATAGTCCCAGCTACACGGGAGGCTGAGGCAGGAGAATGGCGTGAACCCGGGAGGCGGAACTTGCAATGAATGGAGATCGCGCCACTGCACTCCAGCCTGGGCAACAGAGAGAGACTCTGTCTCAAAAATAATAATAAGAAGAAGAAAAGAAAAAGAATGTGTATATATGTATACGTGTGTATATATGTATACGTGTGTGTGTGTGTGTGTGTGTGTGTGTGTGTATAGGAACCCAAAGACCTTATCACTGGTTGTGGGGGCATTTCAAGGAATAAATGTGTACCTGAGAACACAGGTTTGACAAATAGGGAGGAGGGCAGTGTGGCCTGCAAATATTAAAAACTCCAGGCTAAGCCCAAGGCCTGAGATGGGAAATGGCGGCCATTGAGGGAAGACTCTGTGAGAGCACAATGACCACAGATGTGAAAGGAGCAGAAGAAACTGAGCTCCAGGGTGACTGGGCCTCCTCAGCTGGCTAAAGCAGGGCCCCTCTGACAGCATGGGTCAGAGAACAGACAGCTCCCACCAAGGAGTCTCCCAGGACCTCTTGGCTGTGCCTGATTCCATCTCAGTCAGGGTCCCAACCTCCCTCCATCATCCATCACTTCCGGGGCAGCCTTTCATCCAGACTTCCCCTCTGTGGCAGTCACACTCAAGTCCTTGTGTCCACAAACCTGGCCCCATCCTAGTGGGTTTGGGTTGTGCCAGGTGTGGAATAGAGGTCCCATGATCCATGCACAGTGATTGTGGGGGCATTTCAAGTACTAAATGAGTATACCCAGGAGCAGGCACTAAGCATATACCTGCAGAAATGTTTCCTGGTATAAGGCAGATAGGAGTGGAGGCTGAGGAGTGGTCCCTGGCAAGGCAAATAGCAGCAGTGAAGACTTGAGCCCTTCTGATGGGACAGAGAAGACACGGGAGTCGTGTGAGGTGGTGGGAAGGGGCAACGGCAGGATCCCCTGTATACTCCAGAAAGTCCCCTGAGGAAACTTAGAGAGGGGCTGGAGGGAGGCCCAGCCCCAAGCCCTGGTGGAACCAAGGAGGTGATAGAAGCAATGGGTGGAATTTATCAGAAAAGTAACAGCATCCAGACAGGTATTGAGGGCTGTCAAGAAAGGTGGGTGGGGGCAAGGAAAATTTACAAGAGAGAAAAGATTTAATGTGCTTTCATATGTAAAATAAAAAGAAGAAGGTACTACCAGCCCTGTGGACAGAGGCCTGAGACCTCAGGAGGAAGGAGACCTAAGCTGAGACAATACTCAAAACAACACAACCAGGAGCACTTTGTCAGGGGCCCAGAACCTTGACCTGTCCTGTGCCCTTGGATTAACTTTGAAGAGTTTAAAAAACCCAAAGGCTGGGCGTGGTGGCTCACACCTGTAATCCCAGCATTTGGGAGGCTGAGGCGGGTGCATCACCTGAGGTCAAGAATTCCAGGCCAGCCTGAACAACATGGTGAAACCCTGTCTCTACTGAAAATACAAAAATTAGCTGGGCGTGGTGGCACGTGCCTAGAATCCTAGCTACTCGGGAGGCTGAGGCAGGAGAATTGCTTGAACCCGGGAGGCGGAGGTTGCAGTGAGCCGAGATCGTGCCACTGCACTCCAGCCTGGGCGACAGAAGGAGACTCGTCTCAAAAAAAGAAAGAAAGAAAAGAAAACGGACTTCAGCCCTAGAAGTGCATGGAGCT